AGATAGTTGATAATTTGACCCAGTCCTTCCCCTGTAATTGATTAACGGCGACGTATTCGGCCGACACTCTGTTGGTTGATGTCCACAACTTTTTCGTTAATCTCTTCCATTCCAGAGTCGCAGTCCAGAGTTTTCCCACTGAAGGCTGGCAACATGCGCAGAACGAATCCAAGCCGGTCTCACCATACGTTGAAGTGGACGTGGACTCGCACGTTTTGCGGCATGTGTTGTGCTGATACTTAATCCTGGACGTGCAGTTTTCCTTTGTCTTGATGTAATCAAATTTTTCCTTGTTTAGTAAACAATTGCCACTGCTAGGACCCGGTTCTATGAAAAATAGTAAGGAAAAATTATTGTTAATTATTAATTGCTAGGTTAAACAAGTTTCACAAGCTGACTCGACAGAGAGCAATTCGACAGCGGTGCACAAGCACTAGCCGGATCCCCGTGTTGCGATTCTAAAATACTTAACTCTCACAATACCTTTGTTTAGCCAGAGATACAAAATGGTTTCGGCGGCCTGTCAGGGAATTATGACTAAATATGGGGGAGGGGGTTAACTGACACTCCGTTGAGGGAGGGGGAAAAGGAATACGGGCTACTCCTATACCAACTGAAACCGGAATCAGCTTGGGGAAGGGGAAAAAGGAATATTCGTGACCAGCTGAAACCGGTATTAGCTAGGGGGAAGTTGAGTCGCTGGACTTTTGAGCTCAATTTTTCCCAATCTAATCTAATTACTGATATATATGCTAACCGAAGATCTCATTCGCGAAAATTAGCAATAAGTTACTTTGTGAAAATATTGCAATGTGTTGCACTGGAGTTTTCATTCTTATCACAAATTAAAGAGGCATCTCGTTTAGATCACTATTCTTTTAGCCTTGTATAACTTAAATTGTAGGCATCTAGGACCCACTGTTTACGAGAACCATTAACAATACTGATAACAATCACCTTTACATACTCTCACCATAAATGAAAGATGAAATCGGAGTTGCAAGAAGGTTGTGTTTTGAAAGGATTGCCGAATCAGTATAGATATCTCAACCAGCAAAATAATTTGACTTCTTTGCTAAATTCTTTGGTTTTACAGAGCTTTCTAAGTCTACTGCACCCGGTCCTTCTTTTTTGTGCGTGAGTGTGTGTGGTGTTTCTTTTTGCCCACGTCAATCTTGACCTTTTCAGATCACCTGAGATATGCAAAGAAACTAAGGTTCCGAGTGGCGTATCATAACATGCTCACTACTTCCGGAAGAGGTCGACTTGAACAAATTGCGAGAGGATAGATTAAGTGAGGTGATATACTTCCCTCTCGAGAATGCAGATCATAATGAGCCTGTACTTTTGGTATTTTTCGCTCTGATTTCCAGAGTCAACTTACCACATGGAGGACAACACTCTTTTTCATTGGCCGGAGGTTGAATAGATCCCTACAAGAGAAGGAAATACCTAGCTTAGTAAAAATATTCAAAACATGGCAATGATAAGGGTTGAGAATTGCATTGAGATTGAAAATGGTAACCAACCGTTCTTGTTTTTTTTGTTGTTCGTTTGTTTGCTTGTTTTTTGCGTTTTTTACCAGCCAAATATTGATGTAACAATTACATGAAATAAACTATATAAAAAATATCTAGGGGATACCTTTCAAATCCCTCCGAAATCTTGAATTTTTTAGGGCTTCTTTTCCTGCAGTTTCTAAAATTGAAGTTCACCAGCGTGGATCATTTTCTTTACTTGTAATATATTGGTGTCTAACCATGAACATGTCGATAGGGACTCCTGTACTTGGTTTGGATAAAGGAAAATTATCACTAGACAACAACATAGATATACATATAGCATAAGCTCAGATGCTCACCGTTGGACATTTGTCGCAAATTATATGCTCTGTTTTTATCTGTGCACTTTGGTTAAGAGAGTAGCACGGGTTTACAGTAAGTTCGCACTTAAGCTTCAGGCAGCTCCCGTCTTTCCAGGTAGTGTTGGGCTACAACAACACAAAAAAATATCAACATTGCAATGCCTTGGAAGAGAGCTACATATTTCAAAAATTATCTAAGAGAACAATAAATAAAGATCAGGAAAAACAAGGGTATACTCTCGTCATCCTGAAAGTGTTGCTCGCCAAAATACCCTTCTACCCCTTTCAGTATTGTAAAATAACAGAAAACCAGGTATATCATTGTAGTAAAATTGTAAGAGTATTAGGGACAACATTGGTGGAGGCTACTCGATAAGATTATACCCTCCTTGGTAACGTGTCGACATTTTTGCCGCCGATTGAAGTCATACTCTCTGTTTGTGACGGTATAGAAGCCATTTTACTCACCGCATGTTATTCCGGCTCATTTTTGCTGTTAATGTAGAAGCAAGATGGACAGATTGACGCTGTGGGAATAAAAAGAAATTGGAGACTAAATTTAATACACAGAAACAAAATATTATAAAGGTTCTGCATCAGGTATTTATTTTTGTCAGAAGCATCTCAGCGGGCCGGAATCTCAAATCATCGAATTTGATTGGTTAATCATGTGCTCGTAACGGTCCAGCTTTTTAAAATGCAGATTACGGCCCGTAATTTTAATCCCAGCCATTCTCAGTAAAGTGGAATAAAGAAAACCGGAAGGAAAAGTTAATATATTATTTACCGGTCTGATTCGGTCCCTAAGGGGAAAATCTGTACCGTTGGACTTGAGCACAGTTTTTCCAATACACACCACCCGCCAGGTAAATAACGTTTTCTAATCCATACGAATTTAAATTTGATCCTGAAGGAGTTTATACGATAAACCGCGCAAATTTTCGTAAAATGTACGCAAAATTGCAAAATCATACTTAGTTTTCCTCGAGCAAGGAAAGATTAAGCTCATATTCCATGCTTGCTTTTTTCTCGGATTTTTTATCCAGTGACAATTTTCAGAAATTTTAGGAAATTTACAACGTTAAATAAGGACTAACAACATTCATACACATTTATATTCCAAATCAAACTTCCGATTTTTCGAGGAAAATGTAACTCAACCATTGCTTTGTGTAATTATGACGAAGAGGTATTTTCTTCAACAGAGAGGAATCAACACTGACACTCAACAAAATCGCTTTAAAAGAGACTATCAATGTAAGAAATCTCAACAAAAGGTAAGTACACACTGGGCATATCTCAATTAGAGTCTGCTGAGTATAAAAAGAATAGTTACTATTGACACTTACAGACACTAAACGATGTTGAAACAGAGGAGGACAGCGATGGACTGATTGAGCTCAACAGACTCGTTGAAGCCGATGAGGAAACAGATGTCGTGAAGGTTGGCGTCGTCGTTGTCACCAAACTGGTGAAGCTAAAATACAAGCATGCCTCTTCAACAAAATTTTCAATGTACGCGTTTTAAATTCTTTTCCCCAAAAAGAAAACTATGAGACTACATGGGTAAGAAGGCCAGTACATCATAACAAAACCTGACATGCAGTTGAAAACTATCATCCTTGGAAAAAGCCTTACGACGCTTCATTCGCTTCCGTGCTGGCTCAGCTGGTTTTCAAATTTTTTCTTATCCCTCTCCCCATCCCCCCCCCAAAAGTAAGAAAAAAAACATGGAAAACTACATTCACGTAGGTAATTGTGCGATTACTACATTCTTTGACCAAGAAGACTTGTTTTCAACGATATTTGAAACTTATTCTAAGTGACTCACCGAGACAAGGTTGTTGATGTTGAAGTAGATACTGATTTAGACGCACTCGTTGATACTGATGTGCTGACTCTGATACTGGTGCTGACACTTGTTGATGTTGATGTTGATGTGGAAGTGCTGATGCTAAGTGACGTCGAGGCACTTGTTGACTTACTTGAACTCAATGAAGTCGATCTTGAAATCGATCTCGAGGTTGAAGTTGATATACTTGTAGATACTGAAGTTGAAGTACTTGTGCTGGCACTTGATATTGTCGTGGACACTGACGTTGTTGAAGTGCTCACACTAGTTGAAGTCGACGTAGACACACTAGTGCTAAGTGACGTCGAAGTGCTCGT